TCTCTTCCCATGTAGAATGAATATTACAGAAGGCTGCGGTGAGGGCTGGTTTGCTCTGGTACGCTGGAAAAGAGAGCTGACAGAAAGCTGCTGCTGGCAGTTGCTAACTACAAAGAGTTAGGAGCCATCCCCAGAGAGGCTGACACAGGTATGCAGGAGCATGCCCATAACCTCAGCCATCTCCTGTGTCTGAGCCCTCTTCTTATGCTCCTGCAACCTTCTGCTGGCCTGATGTTCACCATCAGGCTCCCTCCAGCAGCCAGCACCAATGTCCGGTGGCTAGACTGCCTCCGCACCTCCCTAGCAAAGCCTGGAGCTGATGGACTCAAACTTTAGCCCTTAGATTTAGATCTGGGTAAAACTGTTGAGCATAATATTTTACTCACTGAAAGCTGCTAGTCTCGGATATGGGTTATCCAAAAGTATGAAAAACAAACAAACTGGGGGAAAAAATTAAAAGAGAAATATTTTGGAAAACCAAAAAAAAAATTGGTTTTGTATTTCTAAACAAGATTCCTGGTTTTGTTTTGAAACAAAGTCTGCTTTAATTGAAACGTATCTAATGCAAACAAATGGCTACCCCATTTTATAAAACTCGTAGGTGTTGTTTTTCCTTTCAGTGTTCGCAGTTTGGTCAGCAACCCAAATAAATCAGTTATTTGCACAACTCTGATTCTAATTAGAATGTAGGGCCCTGGGGACTTGGGCTATATATTTCAATACAGTACATATTTATAATGCCAAATACCCTGCAAGGTGCTCCGTATATAATAATAGCAAGCCATCGAGTACCCTGGGGATATGAGGGCATTGGGGAAGACCCAGTGCCTTTTAGCTGTTAGTTTTTATTTTCGGTTGTAGTAGTATTTTGGAGGGTATTGCTTACAAGATAAAATTTGCATTTATTTGAGCTGCTTACAAATGGGATTCACTGCAAAGCTATCATTAAAGGGAAATAAAGCAGAAGAAGGAACAAAAGACACGTTCTTGGCAAAGTTTGATATGTAGACACTTTCAGAGATCCTTGGTGCCACAGGAAAAATGTCGTCATCCACTCTAGCACACCCCCACTCCCCAAATCCTGGAAAGCAAGCAGGTACAGGGGCTGTTTGTAAAATGCTGTGATGCAAATGCTGGTCAGTCGTATTGTTGGCTATTTCGAGACAAACCTTGCAAACCTTGTTAGAGAAAGTCTTACAGGACAGGGTAAGGCGTTGGCTGCTTAGCATCATCAGTCTCATTTGTCCTGATCCTTTTTTGCAGAATTGCCCTGCACTCTGAGCTCTGATCCCCAGAGCACTCTGCAGTGCTGCAGCCTGCTGTCTGGTGCTGAAGTTTTCCACGCTATGTGGGGTGGATGCTGTTTTTGACTCTGCCCCTGTCTCAGTTGAAAGGCTTAGATGTATGGCCCTTGCAAACTTTCTCTAATAAAATTAATTTCTTCCTGTGAACCCAGCTGGTTTGCTGAGTTAGTGACAGAGAAAGATTTCTGTAGGATTGCTAGGCGTTGATTGCTAAGGCCTTGAAGATTAGGACCAAGCTTTGTGCTGGAGAACTCTTCAGCGTTCACATCCCTTGACTGAAGAACAGCAACTGTAGAAAGCACCAATACTGCTGCTTGATCCAGTGACTGACAAATAGGGAGCCCTGGATAAAAAGTAAGAAACAAGGTTTGACCAAGCCCTCTCTAACTCCCCACCTATACAGCTTGGTGCATTGTTTCTGGATATTTCTCTTGACATCTGTGAAGGTCTTGCATTGATGTGTCCTTGGCTCCAAAACTCTGGGGCATTGCTGGACAAAGCAGGGGTCTGTCACATTTCTCTCTCACCTCCATCACCTTTCAACTGCCACATTTAAAACTACCTGCTAGTGGGTGCCACGAGATTCAAGATAAACAGATGTGGTAGAAAAAAGGGTAGATGAGACAGGTGGGACTAGAGAATTGTGTAAGAATTGTATAAGGGAGCTGAGAGCATGCTGTGGGAGCATGTAGGAGAATGGGCAAACATACACATGCATGTAGAGAGTAAGGAGCTGCCTTCATTAGTCTTCATTTGTTCAGGATTTCTGCTGTTGTATTTTGGCAGTCCTAAATCATTAGTCCAATCCTAACACTCAGACTGTTCACAGTGTTACACATCGCCTCTGAGACTTGCAGCCTCAAGGAGAGGTGCAGCAGCATGGGTTCACCTGCTGTTGCAGTCAGTGCCCTTGTGTAGAAAATTTTGGAAAAGTGGAATTTTTACTGCTGGTGGATGCTGTTTTCTTTGTGCACCGACTGCTACTGAGACCAAGCAAAGGCTTGTCTAGACCAGAGCTCAGGGTTACTTATTATCCTCATAATCCCTTTCCTGTTGCCAACAGCAGTGGCTGATGTGGGTAAGTCAGGAGGGAATGCTCACATCATGGGTAGCCTCTTTCCTATGAACTTCATTAAGCTTTGGACAATTAGCTCAAGATGCGTGATTATTTTGTTTGTGCGAACAGCAAGACAAGCAGAGTCTCCTCTGAGTGTTTCTTTCAAGCAAACCAGCATGACTGAAAACTGGGAGCTTGCCAGAAAACGTTACGTGAAATAGTAGTGGCAGGTTCATCTTAGTGTGGGCGGAGAGAGAGCTGTACCCTCTCTTTTACTACTTCAAACATGCAGTGTCCATATGCCGTAGACGAGCTGGTTTAGGGATGGAGTATGAAGGCTACTACTCGATCTCCTTCACGCAAACGCTGTGTGTGTGCTGTAGATAGATAGTCTGGTGGAGATGAGTATCAGCTGTTGATGCAGTCCAAACACACCGCATCAATATTCAGTGTGCTATAGACAGCCCCGTTTTTCTCCTTTATATTTACTGTTAGTACACAGAGCCAAATACTACCAAAAAAAAAAAAAAAAAAAAAAAAAAGGAGGAGGGGGTGTCACATGATTAAATTAATTCCATTAATTATTTAGAAACAATCAAAGGAAATACAAGACATCTGGCTTTAAGCCCAAACAACTCATGGCACTGCTGTTGCCTTGTAACCTCATCAGCTCTTAGTCCAGTCATCTCTCTTCTTCTTTCATTAAGGACACAGGAGATGGCCCCCCTTCTTTCCTGCCTTATTTCTGGCAGCTTGGAACACAGATCACAAGACTGGACTATACAGTTGTCTGACTCTGTGTGTAGAAAATCTGATTAGTTCTACGATGAAACGGCACCCCCCCACACACATCCCTATGGTATACAATAGTGTTTGATTACCAGTGTGTTGCAGCCATAGGTCGCGTTTTTCCCTTCAGCGCAGCATCGGGAACTAGCTGCTGTAGGAGGGAAAATACTGTTGTTACTGCAAGGGCTCAAAGTCATGAAACATGCGTGTTACATCAGGCAGCGTACAACATACATCCCAAGATTGTGTAAGAGGACTGTGGCAGCACCAGAAATAGAGCCTGGGATTTCAGTTACCCAGTCCACTGGCCTTGGCATTCTCCTTTCCCTGGCTGAGGCCAGTGGTCCGAGCCTTTGTAGCTGTGGCCAGGCATTTTCCATTGGAATGATTTTTCGGTGGAAATTCTTTTTCTTGAAATATAAATTTTCCTTGGGAATAACTATTTTACCCAAGAAAAAATCAAAACAAGTATTTCCCAACTGCTGGTTCTGGAAGGCTCTTTAGTCTTTTTTTTTTTTTTCTTTTTTCTCTATTTTCTAGCTAGTTAACAGAAAAATTCCATTTCAGTTATCTCAGAGGCAAATTTTTGTCGAAGCACCTTATCATGGGAAAAAAAGACCCACATTTCTGTTTTCTCATTCCAGCTCAAGAGCAGGAAGCTTTTGCCCCCCAGCCCCAGTGATTACATCTTCATGATAAGACAGGGCCATTTTCTGTTCATCTCTGATCCTCCGTTTTATTAGGATAAATAATTTAATCATGCAGTTCTCATGTTCTGTAGCTAAATTAGTATATACAACTTCCTAAAACAGTTTTACAGTTATTGGGGCAAAACAAAGGTTCTCACTGGTCATGAGGATTCCACTTTTCTGTGCGCTGGTGAATGTGGACCCATTTTGATTAGTAGCAGCTGTGTTGAAGTCATTCTCATTATGTCTACTGTTAGTGGAGAGGCAGTGACTTTCATTTTCTTGCTTTAATCGGAGAAGCGTAGTTTCACTGGCTGTTGTTCCCTTAATGGTTGCTGAGAGTTGCATTGAAGAACACTTGTTTCATGAAAAGGCATTGAAACTTCTATCACAGTAAGGATATCTAGGCCGTCTTTGCCTACTCTTGACTACTGTTTTGAAGATGCACATTCCCAATTATCTGTTAAAAAGTACCCCTGAAATGAAATAAGCTTCCTTGTCTCTGAAAAGCTTACTTGAGACTACTGCTCCCTGTTGCTTGTACTATTCCATAGCCTACACTTTGTCCTCAGAGAATGATGGCATCAGATGAACATATTGGCTGTGATTTTTCAAAGTATGCGGTTACCCACATTTGGTTCCCACTGCATTTGATGTGTGTTAACACTACCTTCCACAAAGGCAGTTAGACCCATGCAGAAGGCTTTAAACACAAAAACCAAACCCCACTTCTAGCACCCTGGGCTATTTGCAGGCAAGGACATATGTTGTAATTGCTTATGCTGCTTTACAGAGTGTTTGTCGGAGGTGCTTAGCCTGCTCCGTGAGTAATAGCATAGTTAATTTTGACGACACAATAGGTATATTTCTTTAATGTTGTCCTGTTAAGTTTATCGTATGTTTTCAAAATATTGTATCCCTTGGAGCTGAATCTAAACAAATATCTTGTAAAATAAAAAAAAAAGCTCTCAGTTTAAGCTATTCCAAGATTTCAAATATTTATTTCCTCACACTGAAGGAAATTAATATTGTTGTCCTCAAAAGCAGTCATTATGTGCAGTTTGTTGTTTATGTAAAACTTACATTTTTCTTCCCTTTTTCTTCTCTCCCTTTACTTTGCCTTTTCCTAACATCTACATGGCGTGCTGATGGCAAGAGCAGCAGTGGTTGGCAGTTTTCCTCAACTTTGCAAGAGAGACAGAGAGATTTGGTTGGAATGAAACCTTGCTCTCCGAACAGTCTGCTTGAGATGCAGCATTGAAAGGTATCATCTCATTTTCTGTCTTAAAACCAAAGATGAAAACCACAAACAGGTAGAAATTTCGGTGCCAAACCACCTGTTGATTCACAGCAGAAAAGCCCTTTGGCAATACATTTTTCACTGTTTCCAGTTGGAACATTTGTGTGGCAGGTACCCACAGTATCTGTCTGTACCTGCAATTTCGGTAAAGAGGCTGATTCAATTGGGAAGGTTTGGACTGAAATTTGGGTTATAGGTGGACAAAGACTTCTCCGATTTTCAGCTTGTTTTTTTTGACTAGAGGAGCATATATCACTCATATAAATTGCTCCAATATTGAAGGTACAAAACCTGAAGTCACCTGCTGTGCATCATAGAGCAAAAAGAGATTAATTTAAAGTGCTGTGTGTAGAGAGTCCAGATTTGCAATTGCATCATATCCTGGTGTATGGTGAAACTGTGAAAACAAAACTTGCGCAATACCCTGTTAATAGCATCATTTCTTCAACTTTTGAGAGCATTAGAAATCCAAAAATCATTCAAAATCAAGCTTAAATGTTATCCTTGGACTGCTATACATATGCTCCCAGTGACACGTGTGTTACAGAAACAGCCACTGTGTGTTAATATGGCATTAAGATTTTGGACTCCACCCACAAAAATTAATAACATCCTTGAAATAAGAGTGATGTAGGATGCTGACACATTTAAGTCCATATGTTCTTGGACATGTGTCCTCCAGTGCATGATAGAACTCGAATTCCCAGATATTCTTATTTTTCTTATTTCCTGTAAAGCCATGCTGAGAAACTAGGAGAATGTAAATGATGGCAGGCTGGCAGGCTTTGGCCCAAGGAGAGCTGTACAGCGGAACCATATTTTACATTTTTACATGCTCTTATCTGTTTTATTCTGCTAGTAGAACTAGTTGACTTCCATGGATTTGCATAAGTATAATTTAGAACAGACTTGGGCCATGCTATTTATATTTGTGCAGATTGCTTCATGTTTGTGAAACAATTATTTCCTGTGGATCTGCAGCATTGACCAGTGTTGTGCAATGCTTTCATATGTATATATGACTGGTTAAAACACAAAATGTGTTTTGAAGCAACATGACAAGGACCAGTAAAAGCTGCGCAGTAACTGAGCTACCCTTGGCTGTCCATATAATGTCCAATTAATGTGGTTACTGTGCTCTGAAGCCCTTCCAAGGCTGAATAAGACATTCTGAAGCCTGGCAAAATACACAATTTTTTTTCCCAAATTTTCTAAAGATTCCCATTACAGATGCTACAATGACATGAGGACACTGTAATCCATATCTTCGGTAGCAGTAACAATGACGGGTGTGAAGTATATCCCCAAAATCTGAAGGTGTGAATTCTAACCATCAGTGAACTGTGTGTGAGAATTCGATGTAGTAAAACCTAATTCTGTGCTGAAGGGGAACACTGTGAACTCCCAGCATAAAATAAAAGATGTTCTGTTCTCTACTGCACTATCTTGAGCCAAACTCAGCATCTAAAAGCCAAGCAGGGTTCTTTCATCACCAGTCATAAAGATGCTGTAAGTCAGATTGTCCCCTCGGGCTATATTTTGACAATGTAGTAAATCGAGCTTTAGGAACTTTCTACCAGATCGAGAACTCTTGTCACCTCAAAACACAAAGCACAGATCCATTATAAATTCATTCTTTCTGGTGAAGATTTTTTTTTGAAAAATGGTTTGACGCTTTGACTTTATAGCAGCAAACTGCATGCCTTACCCAGTATCTTATGTTCCCTGCTGCTACCACTAAAACATATAAGAGCAAGTATAAATGGGATCTCATGCCCTCACATGATCCAGATGAAATCTGCACTGTGGAGTTAGCCATTAGTGCACAGCCTGTTAATGTTGTTAATGATCAAGCACCATCAGCTCAGTTACTCCTCTGCATTTCGCTGTCTTCCTGTTGTTCCCTTATTACACCACCCTACCCGGAAAGGTTGCACAGGCAGCAGTAAAGCAGTAAGAGCAAAATCTGATCTGTGTTCAGAATGGGATTGGAAAGTATGTTGGATTTTGTATATGTGTATCAGCACCTCCAATTCACTGAGCTGTGTTGAGAAGAGTGCAAAAAGCGAAGTCTTGTTTCTTTCACTAAATCAAGCCAGACTGATACAGGAAAAGTACAAGGACAAATTCCTTTTCACATAAACACTAGAGAAGCTAACGGACAGACAAAGCTTTGGAGTTTTGATTTTAGTATGAGTTTGGCCAGAACTGAAATTCGTCTAAAATTCTTATTGTTTTCTTCTGCCCTCCTCCCCTTGCTTTTCTGTGCTGTGAGATGAATGCATCTTGCCCAGATTTTGCAATTGTAGCTTTGTGCTTAAAAGCCACACTGGCACAATGAATGCCTTTACTGAATTATATTTCAGAACTCTGGGAGTTTGTAGTTTGGAAAGGCAGAGCTGCTTGCAAAGTTTTCAGTTTCAGAAATGTCGTGCGCTTGAACCTATGTGATTTCCTTTGTCTTGGAGGGCAAAGGTGATTCTCAATCTGATGACCTTGGTCTCCTGGAATGAAGAGGGGAAGAGGAAGGAAGAACTTTCCAATGATACTGTTGATAGTGCTATCTTTAAAATATATTCTTTGGAGTTTTGAGAAGTTTTTTATTTGCTTTCATTTTCTCTCTGACCTAATTAATTTTATGGGACCTCTCCACGGACACAATTTATATGACAAATGAATTGCTTTAAAATTTGCTGTCAGGGTACAAAACCCCTTGTTTATGGTAAATTTAAGATATTTCTGCATACTTTCCCTCTATAAATAGTGATCTACCAGTGATACTTTGTCTTCTTTATTCTTCAGATAGTTTGGAGTCTATAGTGACTTATTGCTAGTATTAAAAATACTGAAAAATATTCATAAAAAGGGGAAACATTATTATAATTCATCTGTGGTTAGCAAAAAGTGGCACTAACAGGGAGGTTAAATTCTCAGCTTAGTCTAGAATACAAACTTTTACCACAAGTCCGTGTGTTGTAGGAAGGAAAAGGACAGACCATTTTCATTGCTGTATTCAGGACTGTCCCATCTGCAGCATTTGTGTTAACGATGCTATTTAAACCTTTGAAGCCCATGAATCTTTTGGATACCTGCTCATGTCCCCCCTTTTTTTTCCATATCTACACAATCTACTGATTTCAGTAGGATAATGCACACATTCAAATATTTACCTTTGGCTTTCAAGGCTGCACATGCTTTTCTGAAGAGTTAGAGATGTGAGGGATGTAATGCTCCTGGTGAAAACAATCAGTGTTTTACTAACAAGAGCAGGAGCTGGTTTGCTGTAATTCGGGGGTCAAAATACAAGCTTGGAATTTACTTGGATTTTTAAAAAATCTCCAGTAGCAATGTGGTTATGTACTTATTCCTGTGGTTGGGTAGTGACACTAAGTTTCCTTTTCCATAGAAAAATGCAGAAAATAGTTTAAATGGGGATAAAGCAATGCTCAGTAAATCTTTTAACAATTTTTGCCTTGGTTATATAGCATAATTCAAGGAAGGGAACTTTTCTGGTAAAAATGCACTAAGCAAGGCAAAACATTCTAGCATTAATTCATCAAAATATTCAAACCAGTGCTTAGAATTAAGGCTATGCTCCAATGCTATATGGACGTGGGATGTCTGTGCCCTGTCACAGGTTTTATGACCAGAACGTGGCCAGGATCCGCTGGCCAACCAGCATCCTGAGCAGGATTTGAGGAGCATCTTTTGTTAACTTTGTTAACTGCGATGAGCTGTGGAGCTGGCAAATTTGCCTAAGGGGATGATAGCAGGGAAAGGGTATTGTGCCTGGAATGTATTTTGAAACACTGGATGCACTTTTTTTAAAGTTTTTTTCTATTTCCATCCTGCATTCCCTGCTTTTATAAAGGACTCCTAAGTAATTTCAGAATTAAATTACCTCACTAGCAGTTTTGTGGCCCTCATAAATATGATGAAGACTGACTCCCTCTGTCTCACTTTTTCTTGTGGTGCTTAGCTGTCTTATGGCACGTTAAAAATCTTCCTTCGGCGTCAAGACAGCATATTTCTTTAGTTAAAGATAAGGTTCAGAGGCAAATGTAAAATAGTTATTTATGTTAGATCTGCACTAACTCTGACTTCTTCCTTTTTTGCGATGATTAGTTATTTTCCTTCCTTTAGATGGATTAGAGAGAACGTGGTGCTGTCCCACAGTCCCCAGCTTTAATTTGAAAATGGATCAAGTTCAGGTTCTGACACACTTGGCAGAGCACCATCGTTTTTCTACCCCTCCCTCAATCTGGGCCATAATTGTGGATATCCTGTGGACTGCAGCCCAGAGACTGCCAGTACTGGGAGCATACGGAACGGAAGAGATGATGGCAATAGCTGCGTAGCTTGACCTGACATTTGCCTTGTTTCTCAGCCGCAGAGTGCGATGGGGGGAGCAGAGGGTCTAGTGCGAGCTGCAAGAAAGTCCTTGTGGTTTTGAGGTACAGTCACCTTACCTGACTCAGATATTGATACTAGGTGCTGTTGGCACTTGTTATATATACGTACAAATAAGGGGTGTTTTAAATGAAAAGAAAGGAAGCAAATAGATAAAGTCACACTCTAGGTAATTCCACGGCTTACAGTGAAGTTGCACTGGGGATAGATGTTAACCCCATAAAATCCCGAGGTCACAGATAGCCTTATGACAGACCCTGATAGCTTTGTGGAGACAGATTATGTCAAGCCCTCAAATTTGGAAATGTAGCAATTCCTCTGTAGTAAGATTGCAAATGAACACCCATTTGGAGATTGCCAACATTATCACAGTTTGTCAGGGTGATCTCACAGCCCACAGAGCGCCGTAAGAGATTGCTTTACAAGTTCTGAAAGATTAGAGTGTTGAAGTATGTGACACTGGAATGATGCTTTGATGCCTGGCTTTGTCAGTCAGCCAGACAAATAAATAATATCCACTTTTTATTAGTGTAAAGCATAACAGGTAATGTAAA